TGTCTGGCATCTCAGTCTCCTTTTGTAGCCCCTTAAATCCGAGTGGTTACTATATGTACCACCTGCCGTAACCGTTTGTTGCCCACCGAGCGTATTCACGTGTTTCTTAAGATTCCGCCTGTAAACATCGATTATTTCCTTAACAGACTGATCGTTGCCATGGAGACGTGTTGTATTCTCTTTGCGGTGCGGACATCGAAGGTCGTCACGCCTCTTCCTTAAAGCCTGTAGTTTGTCAAAATTCTCCTTTCGCTAGTTTCTGTGTCCAGCCGTTTGAAGGGAACTTCGCGGTTCTAGTGGTTGGAACTGCAGATTCGTATTCGGGAGGACCTTGGTTCAAATTTCATCACGAAGCTTTGACATCCGTTGATCTTCGTATAGGATCTCGTCAGACTAGATGGCCATGTGGTCTCGTTTGTTGGGCGGGAAATGACGTGACGTGTATCACCAGTTGGAGTCGTAATGCAGCCAATTGGGCCAGTGACCGCTCTGATGCAAGAATTCGCATTTGGTATGCAGTGAAAGTACGGGACATGTTCTGTGCCCTGCATTCAAACACGATCGTGTTCGGTGTCGAGGGTAATTTTGCCAAGCTGTGCGCAGCCCTTCTTGAGAAACTGACATTGGTCTCAGTTGAAAAAAAAATTCTCCCTCTTTTATGGAACCCAAAGGTTCATTACCGTGCACTGAAGAGCGCGCGTAACTTGGATACTAGGTTTTCTTCTGGTGCTTAATTTAATTTTTCGTTCTCTCTCAGCCCTCGTCTCGCGTGTCGTGAGGTCAGAGAAACCTAACCTTGCGTTGCGTTGCTCTGAGGATGAGCTCAGCGTCGTGATGAGGCACTCGGATTTCACTTGTCGTCTTGAGATGATAACCGATTCTCTTGCGGTTACTAGAAAGTAGCTCTCGGGAGAGAAATCGCCGCTTTTCTTCACGCACAAAGCGCTGTCCTGCGTCAGAGATGCGAAACGCTTTATCGTCTCCGGCATTCTGGTTCTGAGAGATTTCCTGAGCCCGGGCTTCAATTCCAGACTGCGATTAAGTGGTCCAGAGACCACAATATTTTCTTTGTCGAATGAAGGAGGAATACAACAACTGCTTGATTTAATCCTAACCGTTACGGGTTCTTGAGCCCAAAAGATGATCGCGGGCCACAGGTTGCATATGCCCGTTCTGTCTCACGTGGACCGCGAAGGACTGTCAGTTGATGTAGACGACGAACTTCCCACGGGTCGACCTTCTTCATTTATGTCGCAAGAGTTCCGTTTTGTTATTGTTCAGTTTCCGCCTTTTTTACGTAATGCAGTAACAGAACAAGAAGATATGTGGAGCACGTGAGAGCAGATGGAGGCGGCCACACGACCTTACAACCCAGAAGACCTGATTTCATAATGGACCAGGGAAAAGAGATGTCAGCTGAACAGGAAGTAGATGGTTTGGTTCACAAAGTTGAGCGGAATGGACCGTGGCAGACTCCGACAAATTGGACTTGTTTGTAAGCGGAAAAGACATCCCTCAAGAGGGTCGTAGCCTAGTCCGCGGAGGGAAGGAGAGGAAGAAGGCGGCGTATTCCGACGTGTCTAGAGGCGTAAAACTTTTCTCCGTCGTTAACTACGTCGAAGAATCCTTGGAGAATTTTGATGGAGTGGACTGACAGCTTCGTAGAGAGAGGCTAGAGGTCTGTTGCGTTCACTCATTTCGAAATTATATTCCCCATCAAATTTTGCTATACACTTCCTATGCTGTATCTTCGAAATGCGCGGAGTAACCCAAGTTTCGAAACTTGTGTGTCAGTTTAATGACGAAAGACTCTCGGAAGATAACTGTTGTGTGCCAGCGTTTTGCGATGCTTTGAATTCAAATGCGTTTCTTAATATTCGACTGTAAATACAGCGTGTTCCCCTTTAAAGCTTTTTAGCACGTTTATGGTTGATGATGATGGCCTTATGAAGGACTGAAACACAGGGTGTATCAAATATAATGGGTGTTCGTGTAATATGTATATTGATAGCTGTGTGATCAATCTATCAGTAATCTACAGAGTGGTAAGAGCAACTGCACCTTGTTCAGTTTTGTCTATTTGAAGCCGAAGCTCGTCTGAATATTGTTTAAGAATTCAGTCCGTACCGCGAAGAAAACACAACGCTTCCGCTGTTTACGCTGAGAATTATGCACGGGCCATGAATACAGAATGGATTTATTGATTGGTCGAGCAAATGGTACAAATGATTACCATTACTCAGTGATGAGTGAAAAATACGTGGCAGAGCTTCACGAACGCAGGGTCGTTTTATTAAATATCGAGCAGAACTTTGTAGAATTCTGAGCTGTTCTTGTGTCGAAGTTTGTTGAATTCTGTCTAGTGGGCAATGCGCCGTTGATGCACTTTTGCTTAATTGATTTTTCCTTTCACCGAGCTCCTTTGCTCCATCAGTCATCCTGACCGATTCACGGTCTGTTTGGTTCATCCTAAATTTGAAATTTTCTGCTCATAACTGGAATACTAAGCGTGAGGTAGGCGAGAAGTAATGTACAGCCTCTCACTTCAACAATTCGATCCATGTTGACAAGTTGGTGGAGAAACTGCATTTTTCTGTGA